TGTTGATGTTGCCCATAGGTTCAGGATCATACATGGTGTATTGTGATGCATCTCGTATTGGGCTCAGTGCAGTATTGATGTAGGAAGGCAGGGTGATTGCATACGGGTCGCGGCAGTTGAAGGTTCATGAGAAGAATTACCCTATTCATGACATAGAGTTGGCAGCCATTGTTCATGCACTAAAGATTTGGAGGCACTATCTCTACGGCGTGTCGTGTGAGGTGTTCATGGATCATCAGAGTCTCAGTATTTATTCAAGCAAAAGGATCTCAACTTGAGGCAGAGGAGGTGGTATGAAATATTGAAAGACTATGATATCACCATTTTGTATCACCCGGGGAAGGCCACTGCGGTTGTCGATGCCTTGAGTAGAAAGGCTGTGAGTATAGGTAGCCTTGCGTATATTCTAGAGAGGCCGCTAGCAGCAGATGTTCGTGCTTTGGCCAATTAATTCGTACAATTAGATGTTTCGGAGCCTAATCATGTTCTAGCTTGCACAGTCTCTCGGTCTTCTTTGTATGAGCGCATTAGAGAGCGCCAATATAATGACTCCCATTTGCTTGTCCTTAAGGACACGGTGCGGCACGGTGGTGACAAGTAGGTTACTATCAGAGATGATGGGATTTTGTGGATGTAGAGTCGTATTTGTGTGCCCAATGTGGATGGGCTTTGTGAGTTGATGCTTGATGAGGCCCACAGTTCCCAGTATTCCATTCATCCGAGTGCCGCCAAGATGTAACAGGATTTGCGGCAACATTATTGGTGGAGGATAATGAAGAAGGATATAGTTGCATATGTAGCCCGATGTCTGAATTTTCAGCAAGTACGAGCATCAGAGGCCTGGTGGTTTTCTTTAGAGGCTTGCAATTCCTGAATGGAAGTGGGAGTGTATTACTATGGATTTATTTGTTAGGCTCCCATAGACTCCAAAGAAGTTCTACGCGTTATGGGTCATTGTAAATAGGTTGACCAAGTCAGCACATTTTATTCCAGTAGTAGTTACCTATTCTTCAGAGCGGTTGGTTGAGATCTATATCCGTGAGATCGTCCGTCTTCACGGTGTGCCCGTGTCCATCATTTCTGATTGAGGTATGCGGTTCACCTTGCACTTCTGGAGAGTCGTACAGCATGAGTTAGGTACATGGGTTGAGTACAACATTTCACCCCTAGATGGACGGACAGTCCGAGCGCACCATTCAGATATTGGAGGATATGCTTTGCGCTTGCGTTATGGATTTCGGGGGTTCTTAGGATCCGTTCTTGCCGCTTGCGGAGTTTGCCTACAACAACAGCTACCAGTTGAGTATTCAGATGGCTCCCTATGAAGCATTGTATGGGATGCGGTTCCGTTCACCAGTTGGTTGGTTTGAGTCGGGAGAGGCTCAGTTGTTGGGTATCGATTTAGTTCAGGATGCCTTGGAAAAGGTTAAGATGATTCATGATCTACTTCACACAGCTCGGTCTAGGCAGAAGAGTTATGCCGGCCATAGAGTTCTTAATGTTGCATTCATGGTTAGGGAGAGGGTATTGCTCCGGGTTTCACCCATGAAGGGTGTGATGAGGTTCGAAAAGAAGGGCAAGTTGAGCCCTAGGTATATTAGACCTTTTGAAATTCTTGAGAGAGTGGGTGAGGTGGCCTACAAGCTTGCATTGCCACCCAGTTTATCAACAGTCCATCCGGTGTTCCATATATGTGTGCTCCGAAAGTATGACGGTGATCTGTCCCATGTGTTAGATTTTAGCTCAGTCCAATTGGACAAGGATTTGACTTATGAGAAGGAGCCGATGGCCATTCTAGCTCGGCAAGTCCGAAAGTTGTGGTCTAAGAGTTATCCTTCAGTTTGAGTGCAGTGGAGAGGTCAACCGATCGAGGCAGCCACGTGGGAGTCTGAGTCGGATATGCGGAGTAGATACCCACACCTTTTCACCACTCCAGGTACTTTTCTATGTCCATTCGAGGACGAACGTTTATCTTGTGTTTCTTGAGAAAGAGCATTAGATTAGGTTGTTGTTGAACATTGTCACTCCTAATTATTTGAGTGATCGATCACTTGGGTTTAAAGCGGGTTTAAAAGTAACAAAGTTTTGACATGGTTGTAATGAGTTGTTAGAATGTGATGAACCCATAGGTCATTTTGAGTTTTAGCCTTTATTTCTGTGTTTTGAGATCTCGACTAGCTCTATTTAGTTTTCCTTGATTTACGTGCACAATCCGTGTCTTGTTCTGAGAAGTTTCTATGTGGAAAATTTAAGAAAATGTGGGAACTTGCCTTAAAACTCATTTGAGTTGACTACGGTCATCATTTTGTGTAAATAAACCTGGATCAGTATTTTAACGGTCCCGGTGGATCAGTATCATGATTTGGAACTTGAGCATATGCCCGGAATCGAATTTGGAAGTCCCTAACTTGATTTAATGTCAATTGTTGAAAACTAGTAATTTGAAGGTTTAAAGAATACCTAAGTTTGACCGTAGGTTGAAGTTTTTGCTACTGAGTTCAGATTTTTGTCCTGGAACTTGAAATAGGTTCATTTTACCATTTATGACTTGTTTGAAAATTTTGGTGCAAATCGGAGTTGATTTGACGTGATTCGGACGCCCGGTTCTAAATTTGCATGTTCTTGAGTTTCTTTGAAAATTCCATACATTTTGACGTCCGATTCGTAGTTCTAGGTGTTATTTTGGTGTTTTGATCACTCTAGCGAGTTTGTATGATGTTTTTAGACTTGTGTGGATGTTTGGTTTGGAGCTCCAAGGGCTCGGGTGAGTTTCGGACGCATTTCAGAGAGTTCATAGGAGTTCAGATTTTTGCTAGTTCTCAGATCTCGCATTTGCGAGATATTGGTTGCATTTTCGACAGCCCCATTTGTGAACTTCATGATCGCATTTGCAAAGAGCATAGTGGCTTGAAGAGTTCGAATTTGCAAACTCCCAATCGCATTCGTGATAATGGCCCGGCCTGGGTAGTGGTCGCATTTGCGATCACTAGGATCGCTTTTGCGGATTGTCCATGTTCGCATTTGTGATTAAATCATCGCATTTGCGATGACAACAGAGCTGTGAGATTCCTCGCATTTGCAATAGATTCTTGACATTTGCGGGGTTCGCATTTGTGAACCCCAGGTTGCATATGCGACATCTGCGACTGGACAAAAAGCCGAGGGACGAGATTTTTAGCCTCATTTTCAAATTTTAGAACCCTAGGCTCGGTAGGAGGCGATTTTGAAGAGGGAATTTCATCTTTGAACTTTGAGTGAGCGATTCTAATCCATTTCTAATCATATTCCATCAACTTATCTTAGATTTTAACATCAAAATCATGTGAATCAAAGTGAAAATTTGTGAAAGTTTGTCAAGTTTTAGAAAAATACGAAATTGAGTTTTGAGAGTCGATTTGGACTCGAATTTTGAAATTAATCACATATATGAACTCGTGGTAGTATGGGTAGTCGGAATCTACCATTGGACTCGGGTTTTAACCGGGCGGGCCCCAGGTTGACTTTTGTTGACTTTTTGGGAAAGAGTAAAGATCTTAGCTTTATCTATTGAAATTGATTTTTCTGGCATTGTTTGATGATATTAAGTCGATTTTGGTTAGATTCGATTGGTTTGGAGGCGAATTTTAGAGGAAAGGCCTCAGTTGAGCTTTGATTTGATTGCAGAGCGAGGTAAGTGTTGGGTCTACCCTTGATTTGAGGGAATTAGGAACCCTTGAACTATAGGTTATGTAAACTGCGTGTGTAACGGTGTATATGCGAGGTGACGAGTGTATATACACTGTCAAATTAATTGTTTCCATACTTTTCTCGTATTTCATGAATTATCTTACTCCATGCCTTAACTGTTACATGCTTTAATTTCTTTCTGTGCCGTAATTTGCTACTTGTCATTAATTATTATTGTGTTGAATTGTTCGTCCCTTCCGTGACTCCGTGGTTAATTGCTAGTTGCCTTAATTGTCTTCTTGCACACTTTAACTATCACATACTTGGCTTGTTTTGTTGCTTTTATATTATTTGTAGCATACTTTTGATTAGTACATGGTTTATTTATTACTTTGCTTTCATATTCCTTAATCGTAGAGATTCTTGTAAATTGAGCTATTGAATTGATCGCTTTTATTGACAATGTTTGTGGATCGGGTTACACACCGCAACAATTATAATATGGTGTATGAGGGAGGATTTTGATATTAATTATAATGATATGGTGAGATCGGGTTGCATGCCGCAACGGTTGTGTACGTAATACTTGTTATTGATAAATTATGACATGGTGAAATAAGGGAGGATTATGACATCGATTTTGATGATGCGTGCCGCAACAGATTTTATATACGATTCTTGATATTGATAAATGATGTTATGGTGGAATAAGGGAGGATTGTTTGTATACGGTGGGATCGGGTTGCGTGCCACAATGGATTGTGTGTGTTGCACTCATTGGTGTATTGTGTCAGTTTTCAGCAATTTTTATATGATATTCTGAGGATTGATATTTTGGATTCACTGACTTCGAGGATTGAGTTTATTTTCATAAATGGCCTTACTTTCATTTCCTGTTTTCTTCCTTGTTATTATTATTACAATGCATACATGTTATTGTAAGTGACCGCCTTGGCCTCATTACTACTTCGTCGAGGTTAGGCTCGGCACTTATAGAGTAGATGGGGTCGGTTGTACTCATACTATATTCTACACTTCTTGTGCTGATTTTGGAGTCGGCCTTACCGGCAGGCAGTTGATATTCTTTTTCTGCATCTTAGCAGTTGAAGTAATTTAGTTTAATTCACACACTAGAATCTTGATATTCGGAAAGCTGATTAAACTCGTTCTTGGTAATACCGAAAAGTTATAGCGAATAGGCTAGTTTTTCGTGGAATTCGACTCCGAATCTTAAATCAGATTATATTTTCAGCAACCGCATAGTCCTTTTATTAGGCATAGTTGATCTTTTATCAAGCTTGTGAAATTAACTTTAAAAGATAATGAGAAATTGATATCACTAAATTATGAAAATGTTATATTTCACAAGAAGGTATACCAATACTAAATATAGTTTGCGACGTCCACTACTTCCATCCGAATAGCTTGAATAACAAAGTCAACAATGTGAACACAATAAAACTACTCAAAATTATTGGATCCTAGTTTTAAGTGGAACTCCTAATTAATCAATCATTTTCATGATCAACCTTTACTAACATCACCATTTTCCTTGACACCATTATTTTCTGATTTACCATTTTCCTTAGCAACATTACCCTCTGGATTTTCCTTGACAATATTACTGTTCGACTTCCCATTTTCGTTCACTTTATCAGTATTCTTGGCTTCTTCAGCAGCTGCTTCTTTATTTTTCTCCTCTTTCTCCTTCTTAGCCTTTTCTCTCTCTTCTTCCTCAGCCTTCAATTTTGCCTCTTCCTTTGCATTTTCAAGAGCTTTAATCAGTCTCTCCAAACAAGTGTTTGCATTTTCCTTAGAAGACTTGGGCATTAAGTTCTCAGCAACATCAGCCGGAGTAATATTAGTTTCCCCCAATAAACGACGAATCTCAGGAAAGTGATCATGAGACTCAGTGTCTAGATAATTATATGCAAGCACCTTGAAGGAGTCAAAGCAACAGTATGATAGCACAATGTGTTTATCCATCCTTCCCCTCCGAATTAAAGCAGGGTCAAGCTTTTCCACAAAGTTGGTAGTGAAAACAATAAGCCTTTCACCACCAATAGCTGACCATAACCCATCAATAAAGTTCAAAAGCCCAGATAAAGTCACCTCGCTTTGCTTTTTCTCCTCTGGATTTTTCATCTTCTCCTTGACGGCATCTTTCTCGTCTTTTACTTCCTCTTCCTTGTCGTCTTTCTTCTTCTCCCTTTGGCCGGTAAGGTCAAGCGAACAGTCGATGTCTTCAATCACAATGATAGACTTACTAGTAGTATCTATCAATAATTTTCTTAGCTCGGTGTTGTCCTTAACCGCTGTCAATTCAAGATCATAGACATCATATTGTAAGAAGTTAGCCATTGCAGCAATCATGCTAGACTTACCGGTTCCTGGAGGACCATATAGAAGATAACCACGCTTCCATGCCTTGCCAATCTTGGCATAATAGTCTTTTGACTTGCTAAATGTTTGAAGATCATCCATAATCTCTTGTTTCTTGTTTGGCTCCATTGCTAAAGTATTAAATGTTGATGGATGTTCAAACACTACTTGGCTCCACATTCTCCTCCTGTATCCATACCCACCATCTCCCTTATTGTTTGTGTACAACTTTCTCTGCCTTTCTCTTACTGAAATTGCCTTCCCTTCATCCAACACATACTTCAAGTATGAAGCGGTGATAAGCTCGCGGTTCTTTCTGTGAAACTTGAGTTTGAAATACCTCTTCTCATCCTCCCTAGGGTACCAAGAAATTGTCTGTCTGTTGGCTATTTGTTGGCTAGAAATCCACCAGACTTTCTCGCCTTTATATTCATCGGTTACCTCTTCGTGATCATCCATTGTTAGTACAAGAGATTGGCCATCTTTGACTACGTTGGCTTTGAGACGCTTAGCTTGTGTGGAGGAGTTCTTGCTTAGGTACCTTTCAATTGCTACATAAGCTTTGCTACGCTCGAACCAGCCATCAGTTTCATACTCATGAAAAATAATGTGCATATAAGGGTAGAAATAGGTCACGAGTTTATCGGTATACCTCCTAATATGACCACGAAGTTCGTGAGGAAAATAGTTTTGGTACATGGTCCAGGCAAACATGATTGTTGCAATAGTTGGACCCAACTGAGTCCAGACATCTTGCATCATCATCATCTAATTTCTCTCTTTTTTTCAACTGCAATATATATAAGAACACTTCGTGTGAATTATTGTTCAGTAAATGCTGGCCTTTATATATATAGAGCACCAACATAGTTACCTCTACTTTGGTCTCCAAGTTTTGAATAGCATTTGCTTTTAGGGTGTGCTGACCATATACAATTAAAGAAACTGCTGAGTAGATGCCAAGGTGGCCGGGACACCTTTTCTACCGGCCAATCTTGAAATACTATACTAAATTTTTGTCTTTATCCCAAGACTTCGTTCATTGATAAGTCTCTTGAGAACTAGGAAGGTTAAATTAAGATTAAGATCCATATCTGGATCCACTATAAGAATGCATATCACCATTGTGATGTCATTATGCTTACATATGGGAGAAGGAATAATGACTATTCCAAAAACATTTCGGAGACAATGTCTTCTTTTTTTTCTTTTAAACTACTCCCTCCGTCTTATGGCCTGCTTGGATGGTCGTTAATCATGGTTTAATAATGTTGTATTATATAATATTATATATATATATATATATTGTATTATATAGTAATATATTAATGAATATAATATTTTGATACAATGTATAGTTTGTTGTTGTTTAATGGGTAAATGAAATATGTAACAACACAAAAACCACCAAAAGCTACGTAAAGATCAAAAGTTGAATGTGAAAGACTAAAATGACCCTATAATATTACTGGGTTTTTATTTCCTTAAAAGCAATATTAATAATACATTCAATATTAATAAACAAAATATGTAGGCCACAGAAGTTTGTTTTGTAACGTTAAATTTGACTTGGGTCATCAAAGAATTTATTAAGGTACATGTATCTAAATTCTTCACTTTACAAAGTTAAGCTCTTTAACTTCCCATGCGTATAATAACTTTTTCGAGCTAAGATTTACAATTCTTATATTTTGTCTTCTCCTCTATTTTTCTTAGCTTAAATATTCATATTGTTATGATATCTAAATGCGATTTTTTTTTCTCATAACAACAATCATGATTCAAATTATTTTACCATCCATGTACAAAAGGATATAATTTTTTCAATTTTGTACTAATTACATGGGATACACGCGCAACGTGCGTGCTCAAGGACTAGCGGTTATATAACAACGGAGTTACAACGAGTTTACAACACCATATAATATATTAAAAATAGTAGAAACAAATATAGTATAAATGAAAATAATGCATAATGAACCACAGAAAACAACTATCAAAACAGGGGGTTAATTTATGTGACATTGTGACCAACATTTTAAAATGTATCTGTTCATCATATTGATATGAGAATCATGGTAATTTATAGTACTTTTAAATTTTTTAAATATCTATATTATAATATTGATGTAATTTAATCCAACTTAACTTTGAATTAATCAAACTAACTGTCGAGAAGCAACAAAAAAAAATCATATAAATTGGATGGAGGTAGTATTTGGTATCTATGATTCACACCCGAACTACTACCAGATTTTACGTGGGAAAAAAAACCTCTGCGGAGATTAGAAAAGAAGATAGACAAGGGAAGGTTATTCACATTACACATGTCGAGGAGCTCTCACTACTAGAAATTCGGAATTTAGCGACCAAAATTTTGCAACCAAAGTTGGTCGGTAAAGAGGAGAAAAATATTTTATATTTATTTATATAAATTACCGACCAAAGTTGGTCGGTAAAGTGGTCAACAGGTTGACCCAGATGGTCAGCATTGTGTAGTCGTCAAAGAAAATTTCACATTACCGACTAACTTTGGTCGGTAATGTGGGACCCAGTTAAAATTTTTTAATAGTTATATTATTGTTTAAAATATGTTATAAAATATAAAGAAATCTTATTCAAAATTACCGACCAAAGTTGGTCGATTAATACAGGGGAAACATTTACCGACCAACTTTGATCGCTTTTTCTTAATATCTGGAAAGTAACCGACCAACTTTGGTCGGTTATTTGGTCAACATTGGTCAAAATTTAAATCACTTTTATATTTACTATCTAAATAATATAAATGTATTCTGTTAAGGGAGGCTCCTTGCAAACTGGAGGTGTGGTCAGCCTAGGGTCAATAAAAAGAAGATTGATACGTAATTGCTTAAATTATTTTAATTTTAAAAGTATATCTATTCAGTTTATTAACTAAATTAATTTGTTTTCAGGAAAAGAAGTTGGGGCGTCCAATGAACTATGATGAGCTTTTCAAGGAGACGCATATTGTAAAGAAGAAGAAAGAGACGGATCAAGAAAGATGGGTCGAGGACCGGGCCTCGACTGTATATGTAAGCTTTCACTTTTCTTTAAGTATTTTAATTTACTTTTATATAAATTTTGAAATACTAATTCAATTTAAATTTTCGTATAGAGTCGCTACCAAACTAACGTGGAGGAATTCATCCGCACTCAGCCAGCTGGTGAATCGGGCGAGCCAACCAACTTTCGGACGAGGATGCTGAAAGAATATGGATGGAGTCTGCTGGCGGTCCAAAATAGGGGAAGGTATACGGGCTTCCTACTACAAAGTTCCATCGCTATAAGTGTGGAATGCAAGGAATAGGGACTTCCTCGCAAGGCGAGCAACTTAATAGGGAGAGTCTCTCCGCTATGCAGGAGACTGTGACAAAGCTCACATCCGAGCTAGAAGAGGCCAAGGAAAGAGAAAGGGTTAGAGATGCTCAATTATATTCCTTGGCATGCAAGCTCAAATCAGAACTCTCCCATCTACTGGAGCTTTTCCGTTGCCTCGGTCTCGTGAGTCATCGCCAGAGGCTCGACTTGAACGTGAGCGTTCCTTCCGTCCTCCCCGTGATCGTTCCTCCCGTCCTCCCCGTGGTCGTTCTTCACGTCCTCCGCAAGACCCTTCTCGATACCGTCTTTTAGATGAAAGTTCATCAGACGATGATGATGATGTTGTACAAAACACTCCTTGACTTGTATATACTTTCAACTAGACAAATAGAACCGGTTCTGAACTAGTTGTAATAAGTATTAACTTGGTTTTGGATTTTTTAGTTCTATTGAACTTTAATTTGTTTGTTTTAATGTATTTATTGAATTGTGTTGTTGTTGTTGTTGTTATTTATTGTTCTTGTTGTTGTTGTTGTTGTTGGCATAAAGTGCATGTTTAGGAATTTTGGTATGCTTGTGTTGTTGTTGTTGGGATAAAATGCCTGTTTAGGAATTTTGGTATGCTGGCAGGTGGTGTAGCTGCCAAAACAGGCATTTTATGTCAAAATTAAAACCCAGAAAACTGACCAAAGTTGGTCGGTATTCAATTTTTTAAAAAAAAATCTTCTGATTAGCGACCAAAGTTGGTCGCTTAATCTTAAAAAAAAATAAAAAATTAATAATTACCGACCAAAGTTGGTCGGTTAATGAACAAGGATTACCCAGATTTCACATTTACCAACCAACTTTGGTCACTAATTTTTAAAAAATATATATATTTTCATTTACTGACCAACTTTGGTCGCTAATCTTTAAATTTTAATAATTAATAATATAACGTAATTTACATACACCGACCAACTTTGGTCGGTAAAATTAAATTATTAAAATATGTTACCGACCAAAGTTGGTCGGTATGTGCTTTAAATTACACAGTTGGTCCTTTTACCTTTGCGACCAACTTTGGTCGGTAATTAGCGACCAACTTTGGTCGGTATACAAAAGCGACCTCTAAAATAGCGACCAAGCCTATTTGGACGGGTTTTGGTCGATATTTTGCATATACAGACTAACGTTGATCGCTTTTTGTGGTCGCTAAAACCCGAAGTTCTAGTAGTGTCTTCTATTAAATTAATGAATTTACAAATACAAGGAACTATTGGTAGAAAAACAGAAAACAAGTCTTGCAATCAAATTATTTGATCATTATTAATGAGCCAAGCCTTCAACAAAGTATTTGATCCTTACCCAATTAAGCGACCCTTTCGTTGGTACCAGAAGTTCCATCTACATTATTGTCTTTGTTTAATACAGAAGACGACACTTTGTTTAGGTGAATTTTTTT